TAGGTCGACATTAGTACCCCCATTTTACAGATGGGGAAACTGAGGCACAGAGAGGTTAAGTGTCTTGCCCAAGGTCACACAGCAAGTAAACACTGGAGCTGGGACTAGAACCCAGGTTCCCTGGCTCCTGGTGTCCTTGAAACTAGACCATACTGCTTCCAAAGAGGCATCCCCAGACTGGTTCTGAGCACGAATTAAAGACGAACAATGTTAGATGAGGTTTGGGTATGGCGGCATTTCCTGTGGACACAGTAAGATGGAACCTGAGGTGTTGCCTGGACTGGTTTTGGCATGCGGGTGTATGTTAGTTTCAATGGGTGCATCTGAGATTTCTGGCCTGGCCATTTCTCACTGCATTCTGCACTGGGTCACTGCAGCGGGCCTGGCCAGGCAGTCAGGAGGTCGTGACGTTTTGGCATATAAAAGGAACTCTGTCAGCTCAGCGCCAAGGGGCCTGCCAGTCTTTGGGAGTTCGGGCAAACTAGGGATGCACGACTTCGGATCAGAGTCCGCTGCCCACCTTGGGCAGGTCTGCTTATTCTTTTTATTATATATGTATATTTCTTTTGTTACTGGCCAGCATCAGGAAGTTGTGTTCATTTCATTTCTTTGTGGGGCAGCTGCCCCTCTCCTTTGCTCTCTCTCACTCTTTCCCTTTCTCTGAGTCTCTGCTTGGAAGGGAAAACTGTTAACACTTGCATGTTCCCTTTCATGAAAAGAAGCCACCGTGAGCAGTGTCCGTGACAGGCAGCCATGGCTCCTCGGATGAGCCAAGGTCCCACTTCTGCCTTCCAGAGGAGTGCCTTGCTTGGAAGGGGTCTCCCCGGGGCCTTGGGTTTGCTCTTGCCTGCATTTCTCCCGAAATGCTGTGTCAGTAGAAATAAGCCCATGTGAGAATTTGCCCTTCCAAGGCCTTAGCCACAAGTGCCTTCCGACTAACCAGCTTGGTGCCGTAGCTCAGGGAGAAAACTCTAAAGCATCCGTTCAAGCATCTGAAACAAATGAATCAGCCAGTGAAATCTCATCTGTTAGCATCTCTTCTCCTCTTAGATTAAAAAAGGAAGAAATGTAAAAAGAGCCCTTTTATGGCTTTAGGTGGAATCATGCTTTTAAAAAGGAAAAAAGAATCTCACTACTTTTCAAACTATGGTGACAAGATAACAGGATTCTCCACAGGTGAAATCTCTGAGAGGATCCCATCTTCTGTCTCTATGCACCGAGCCTCCCTAGCAATCTATATCGAGGGCACGTTGCAGACCAAGAGTCATTCGATTTAGTTTTAGTGCCCACATCCTCCCCTAATCCACCTGCTGGTGGGGCACAGGCCGTAAAATCATTCAACCTGAGAACTTAATTCTGCATAGCTAGAAATATCATTCTTCATAAACTCAACTTCCAAACAGGTGAAAAAAGGACAGTATCCTTCTAGAATTTTTCCTTCCAGATTAGAAGGGCAGGCTCCCATCCAGAATGTGGGGGAGTCTTCCTTGGACCCCACCAGAATAAAGGAAATGCTTGCGTGTTGGAAATGAACAGAACTGTCCCCACTTTGGGATCTTTTGTCTTATGGACGGGACGATAGACAGACTAGCGCGTGGAACCTGCACAGAAGTCCTCATCTGGAAGGTGCAATAGGGTTATGTCAGGTGGAAGGAAGGGACTGAGACTTTCAGCGGCTACAGGGCTGTGTTCCTGTATTTCTCTGCTTCTTGTGGAAACGTGCAGGTTACTTGGATGTAGCAAAATGGATGAAGAGCAAATGCTGGGTCAAACTAAAGGATCATGGTGTGTGGGAGATGAGTGGGAGAAAATTAAAAGGCCTGATGCAGCTTCTCCCTGGCTCCCTCTGTGGAGGGGCTGGAGAGAAGGCAGGTTTAAGGGTGAGGATGGATGGACAGATGGATGGAAGTGGCACACTCATTCAGATCACGGAGGCCAGAGAACACCGGATGCCAACCTTCTCGCTCCACATGGAGGCAGGAGACCCCAAGCCATTCCCTCCTCGTGAAGAAGGCAATGCTGCAGCTGGTCCAGTCAGATGGACATCAGATGAGACCCATGGGGTTCAGAACCACAGCACGTCTGTGTGCCCCTGGAAGCCCTTCCATGGCACATGGGATGGGGTGCAGAGAACTGGGGCCAGTTCTGAAAGCTGTTCAGGCAGACTGCACTCTCCGCTGCACAAACACGCACATGCCCACGTCTCCCTTCTGCTCACTGCGATACCACACCGACTGCCCATCAGCATTCAGTCTGGGAGCTGTGCGGCCCTGAGTCAGGGGGAGAATCGAGTCCTCCCCTTCTCACCAAGCCGTGCCCACCCTCAGGGGCTTCCTCAAAGACGTGTTTCTTTCCTAGTTGCACAGCCAGCACAGTCCTCCTGCTGCTGACACCGTTTCATTAACTACTACATCGTAATGCAATATTTCATCATACAGAAAGGAAAGCCTCCTCATGCTAATTAAATGTGGAGTAACAAATCACATTTAAAGCCATTTCCATAGCCTAGGAAGCCAAAAATGTAATTAGAATTATCCTTCAAGGAGACAAATTTTTTCTATTTTTAATGCTTGTTTCAGAATCAAATGCATTTTCAGAATATATCTGTCAAGATTATGAACACAACTTAATTTTCTAGGCTGTGTACTCAACATAAATTATAGACTTAGCCTCGACTCCCAGTGGAACCATGTGAAATTGTGTTGGTACCATCTAACTAGAAATATTTGAATTCCACCAAGGAAATAAAGCTCTTTCTATAAACAATAAAATGAAAAATGTTTATGACAAAAAACCCCTCAACATTATTTTAACACAATATAATAATCTTTAACCCACAACCTATAGACGTAGCATTAGCCCCATTTGAACTGTTAACTTTAGACTTGGTAAATCCCATTATAGCAAATGTAATTACTCAGCCATGTGTTATTTATGTGAGTTTCAAAAACATCAAAACATTATATATATATATATATATATATATATATATATATATATATATTCATTTGTATTCCTCAGTCACCAGAGCAAGCACCGAAGCTACCTAATTGGGAAGTCTTGGAGTTCAGGAGGGTATGAATAACTGTATCCACGTGGTCATCATCCCTGCCTTCCACAGGAAAATGAGGGTCTCATGACACAAAGCTAAGCTAATTACTGTAAATTATGAGACAAGGCATCGATAAAGATATGTTTTCATTCCAGAAAGTCCCACCAACTAGGCTCCTAGAATAGCAAGCAGTTCCATCTAAGCTGAGGACACCCACAGAACTCAGAATCCGGCCAGCCTCTTCATCCGGGCAGAGGGCTACCTGAGGGAACAGCCTTCAGAAGCATGTTAAGCTCTCCCTCTCCTGGTGGTCAGTTTGGCCATGGTGGTCCCAAGGATGTATAAACTAGAAATCTGTTCAGATTTGCAAACATATCTTTTCAGTCTAAGGCTAGTTGTGAACCGCAATCCAGGAAGGAAGTTGTCAGTTTTACAAACCAGATCAACGGAAAGTGAAGGAATTTAACTCCAATCCTACGATCTAAGATGGCAACAAGCCACTCGACTGTGCCCGTGACCCCCCGAGCTACTGAAAGGACACGTGGTCATAGAAACAAGGTCAGAGAGTGTCTGCGGTGGGATTCACTGTCCTCCCGTGGGCCTGTTCCCTCCCCACTGCGGCTGTGCAGGCAGGCAGAGATTTCACCATGAATCAGCCGGTCACGTCACTCAAGGTCATCTACTAAACTGCCAGATACACACGCACCCCACCGTCCTTATTCACTGTCGTTCATATGCATATTCTCTCTCATGGCAAGATCACAGACAAGCCCTCACTTCCATAGTTGCCATCACTCTGAACACCGAACAACGCCAGGCATTTTTCTCTGGAAAGAGTGAAGGACTATTCCATGTTAAACCATATTAGCACCTACAAGGTCACACTGAAGACATGAGACAACAAGGACATAAAAGTAACTTGGTGTAAACCTAAAAACAAGAGGAAATATTTCTTTATCTTATTCACAATGGTCTTAAAACACCCCAGGTGGCAGAAGTGATGGTGATTTATTTCTGCTTGCTTGCTGAGCTCGGTAGTTCCATTTTTCCTGTTCTTAGTATATTTCCACCATCCTTCTTTGCCCTGATTTCTCCATCAATGACCACAAACTATTTTCCTAGCCTCCTTTCCTGCAAGTCTCCATTGCGACTCCTTTCCCTTCCACACACCAGCTTCTGGAGAACTTTGGGCTTACCCAGGAGTCTACATCCCTCGGATGCATGGACCCTGGTTGGACCAGAGGATCAATCCTGTAAGCCGCAGTTACACTCTGGGGGCTCACGGGGCAGGGGGCTGAGCAGGAGGAGGGGACAGGAGCCCTGAGGCTAGCCTGGACATGACAGAGCAGCACTTGCACAGCAAGCCTCATGGCCATCAGGAGACAGCACACAGAGACAGATGTGCCATCAGGCACACGTGCGCACGCGTGCACACATACACACACACACACACACACACACCCCAGAACACACTAGGAAGTGATGAATGTTACTGAAATGAACCAAAAACCAACAAGCAGTGGGGTAAGAAACAAACAGAAACAAAACAAAGCACTTGTGTTCAGATGGAAAGCTGTTCACTGGGCAGCCAGACCATGAGCCCAGGGCTGTGGCAAGGTGGCCCTGCCTGGAGGCCACTGCCTCTGGAGAAGACTGGAGGGCACGGGCGTGAGGCCAGTGCTTGCTCCTCTCCTGCCATGGCCATCCTGGAGGCCCTGCGCGCCGGACAGCCAGCACCAGGTGCAGGGCACAGTGGAGAAGGCAAAGGGGGAGCACTTACCTTGTGGCCCAGAAATAGCTAGTCCACATTTGGGGGAGTGGGTAGTATGTCAGTTTAAACAAAATCCTTGTGGTACTGCTCAACCACGAATAGTCAGCTCTCTAGTATTTCAAATAAGTTTGTAACATTGTTAGTGAAAAGAGGAAACAGAACAAGAGGACAATTCACCTGTAGGGCAATTGTGGTGTTCTTCGCAGGGTATTTTCCCACCAATCCTTGTTCTTTCCGTTTCTTGAATTTCCTAAAGTAGTCCTGTATCAGGAAAGTGGCATAGAACTTCCCCACGGTTACCTCATCATCTAAACGGAGAGACCAGACACAGCTCTCCCGAATCAGCACATTTGGACCAGGGGCCTACACACTTGCTTCTGGCTGGGGCAGGGTAGGGTGGAGCGGGACAGTGCAGATGGCATTGAGTCGTCAGCCTATAACTTGGGACGCTTCATCTAACAAAAAGCAAGGCTTTGCAAAGCTCAGAATTAGAGTCAGTTAAATGAACTGATACTCAAAGTTGCAGAAAGTATTATATATGTGTCATATACAGAGCAGCAGATTAGTAACACTATGAAATGTTATTTTGGTTATTTACTTAAAATTAAAAAATTACAAAAAAAGAAAAGGTTTCGTGGGTCATGTTTTCACCCCCGTGCACAGAGATTTGGATGTGTAATTACCATAAACATCAAGGACAATTAAACATCCAAATCCCTATGTCTCAAGATAGATACCTAGAAAGGTGACATAAAAGCTCAGAAGGAAAGGAAAGTTCAGAAAAGTGACTGCAGATCCAGATTTTCACACATAATCTCTGCCAATAAGCTCCACAGACCATTTCTTGGTCTGTTATTCAGAATTAATGGTTTTCTGCACTGCAGTGACAGCTCCAACTAACCGCAAAGTTGAGCTGGGCTTATTTCTGCTTTGTTCAGAAACAACCTCCAACATGTGTTCCCGGGGAATCAGAACTCTGCTGACAACTGTGAAGGTGATGCATGAGGCAGAATAGAGGCTCTGGCTGTCCCGTGGTAAACCACCTTGGAGATGTCAATGTGCTCCCAGGTCTCCCAGAGGTGCCTGCACCAGATCCTCAAGGTGCTGAGTTCTCCTGGGTGGAAAGCTCAGGGCCGCCCCAGCGGCCCGGGATCAAGGGCCACTGACTTGCAGAGGCTGGAAGGAGGAATGGCTGCAGCTTCTCAGGCTTCTGACCAAGCTGCCCCACAAGAGTCACATGCTGAACAAGACACAGGGCTCAACCAACCTGCACTTGCGTTCTCGTCTGTAAAATGAGGACCCATCTCTTAGAGGAGCTGTGAAGCAAGTGTGAGAGGAGGCACATGCAGCACAGCCCCTGGCCTGAGCTGTTCTCGGTGCCGTGCACCGCACAACCACAAGCCAGCAGAGATCCTGTTATTTTAACAGCTTGTCAACAGCAGCACGCACTGAAATGGATACGAGCACATGACGGGCTGGGGTCACTGGTACCTGCTACATTCACTAGTGAATCCCGGATGAGCTTAGTTTAGTGCCCCGTGGGCAGTGACGCCAACTGGAGACTGCTAGGCCGCTGTGGGCGGCCTCTTCAGCCCTCCTTGTCAGAAGCTGCTCCATGTTACAAGGGTGAAAAAGCTGTCTTGGGGAAGGGGCCTGGCTTTGGTACGTGCTATGTCCCTTGCTCTGCTCTCTAGCCTCTGCCCATTTGGCCCCCGGTACCTTTAGAATTATCAGCTGTAGCTAGCCCTGCTGATTAGGCACCTATGGACACCCCACTGTTGGAGGCATCCACGTGGGTCTCATGGCCTCTGAGAGATGAAGAGAGCTTACGTGGCCTCCCCAGGTCAGCTGAGCCAGCTCACCGTGCCTCCTGGAGGCCAGGGTCCTCTTCTCATCCCTACCACCTGTCCATGGACAGTGCTGCTGGCCACACTGGCCACTTGCTTCTTTGGAGCTGTCCCAGCCTTTCCTGGGCTACCCACAGGAAGCAGGCCGGCCACTGCCCGGTGAGTACATTCAGGGACCCAGGGAGATTCTCCACCTGCCGTGTCATCGCTGTCTTTTGTACTCCAGGGATCCCTGTGGGCCCCCCAGAGAAATCACCAGCTCGATCTGCAAAAGGCCCACTCCCTTCCATACCAGGATGCTTCCAGCAAATGTGGGCCTAACCCTCACCTCTTCTCGGCCTCTAGAGCAGAGGCAGGCCCACCCAAAGCTCAGCAGGGCTGGATTCAAGGGCCAGTTTGTTGTCTCCACTGAGAAGCTGAGGTAATTGGAAGACTGGGCCCAAAGAAGAGTTTTGAGGAAAAGAAGAGTCAAAGCTCTAGCGGAACAGAAAAGGAAAGAGAGAAGGAATGGCTGTGGTGAAGCCATCTGGGCTCCTGATTAGAGAGAGAAACAGGGTCAGCTGTGTGCTCTTCGGGGCTAAAGAGCCAGAGACCCAGCTCAAGGGATGACGACCCAAAGGCAGGAAGGTCTCTCAGGAGAGGAAGCTTTTACAGAGAAGGGAGGCAGTCTGCACAACTGCAGAGGATGCCGTAGAGAGCAGCTGAGAACCTGAGCTGAGCTGAGACGCTCTCATGACTGAGGAGCTGTCTGGGCCACTGAAAGTGGAGAAGGAAGCTCCCGACGCGCACTCCTCAGCTCCTCCCGAGATCACTCTTTTATCAGGCTCATGATGGCCTGGTGACATCCGTCTGTCACATCTCCAACGGCAAAGTCTCCCGAGACCAGCGTCCCTTTCTGCTCTGTCATCAGGGCCAGGAGGGGCTTCATGGGCACCCCACACCTGCCACACTCTGACACCAGGGACAGGGGCTGGCCTTGCTCCTGCTGCTGCCCCCTGACCAGGTTCCAGGGTTGGGGGGCACTGATCCCCTCAGCCTCTGGGGGGCCCATCTGTCTCCCCAGAGGGATGTATAAAAATGCAATCATTTTCAGCATGCCAAGGATGCATGAAAGGTTGGGAATGCTGGTCTACTGGAAGATGAAATAAGAAAAAGAGAGAGGCAGGTCATCAATACAGATAATAAGACCCTATCTGAAACTGCCCACGGAAGCCTGAATGTCGCTGCCTTTTTCATCTTCAGGAGCAGTAGCACCTACACGGGATTCGACCCGGAGAAGCACGACCCTCGCCCCTGAATAAACACTGTCTGCTGAACTTCTGAAACATTTCCCCTTCGCAGGTGTCACGGGTCCTCTTGGTGCCCCAGTGGAACAGATCAGCACTGACCATCCTAAATCCTGATCCAGGCTAAGAGACAGCGAGAAAAGGCCAGGCCCTGCTTTGCTCCGAGAGAGGGGGAGGATATCTAGCCTGCGTGAGAAGTTTGGTGGAGCTACAAGTTTCAAAGGAAAGGCTCTTAGCTATCGAGCCAACTTCCGGACTCTGTCCAGTGAGGTGCGAGGGAATGATGTTTCACAGCAACGCAGACTCTCTCCGAGCAGAGCTCGTGATGGGTGTGAGTGCGAGGCTAGGGCCGGCCACAAGGAAGGCAGGGTTTCAAGAGAGGAATGAGGTGAACCAAGAGAGGAGCAGGCTCCTCGGGCTCAGGGAGCAAGGTTTCCATCGACAGGGACAGCCGGCTATTCTGAAGCATGCATCTGTATTTCAAGAAACATTGTAGGGGAATATAGCTGATGAGAGATAACTCTGATTCCATGCCACCACCCTAAAACAGAATTGCTTCAGAATATTCTGAAAGACTGAGAGTTGAAAGGAATGGAGGCTGCAGAAAAAGCTCGAGCACATGGTTACAACAATTTTGAAAGCAGTTCCTCTAAGCCATGCGAGCACCTGGACGTGCAGCTGAAAGAAAAGAACGGAAACCAAAGAGGAGTTTTAAACGTGCAGTATCAGGTCTCTGGGGCGGGGGTTCTCTAAGCGGGAGTTTTGTCTTGTTCCTGTTTAGCGTTTCTTTCTGGGTCATTTTCTCCAGCTTCAGTCTGGTGCCCATGCCAGCTGTGGATGGCTCGCTTCGGTGACAAGAGCTCACATTGCTTCTCACTTCCTGCTGAGGAGCAGAGCTGGCTACTGTGCTGCTCAGGGTCCCCTAAGGGCCACAGGCTGTCAGCTTCTCAGCAGAGGCCATGGCCAGTGTGCTGGACTGGGTTCCAGAGGCAGCTTCCAGACCTGAGCTGGAGCACCCCTGCAAGCTGCAGGAGCAGCGACGTTATAAAATTTCCACTGGTTACTGCGGTCACCAGATGGTTTTCATATGTCCTGGCAAAAGGTGGGCTAAAATGCTGCAGGGGTGGCACTGGATGAACAGATTCTGCACCTTTAAAACTTGAAAACAAAACAGTCTGTAAACCACCTCAACTTCTATGTGTACTTAGAGAAAAATGGAAAAAAACATGTGTTCATATATATAAATATATATCACATATATGTTATATATATAAATTCAAAAAAGTTTAGTCAGTTAATTTGTGGTAGATAACAAAAGGAAAATAAGCATGCTTTGTTAGTTCTGTCTGTACTCTAAATTCTACCTTATTACAAGGACACACTTGGTAGTAAATCCAGCCTTGATAAGAACGTGTCTAAATTACTACTTCCTAAAAACTTTTTCAGGAGAAGTTTCCAACAAAATGTTGAAGTATAGCTGGAAGCTAGTTTCAAGTAATATTTCTTTTTGGACTAAACATATAGCCTTTTTGTTTTGCAGCAGCAACCTTATGCTCTAACACGAATTCCTCCACCAACAAGCAAACCCCTGCTCTGGCCATGTGGTGTCTTGGTTCCCTCCCTACAGAAGCCTTCTCTGCCTGAAGGGTCTGCATCTTACCCCTAAACAACCCTTCAGCTGCTGGCCTAACTCTACGCAGAATGCATTCTGCAAATACTCTCTGGGTTTTCTGGAGATGCTATCACTAAAACCAACACTGCGGCCAAGAACTCATCAGGAAACAGATTACACTGACCACCAGCAGGAGGGACAACTTGGTCGAGCAGTTTCATGCTGGTTTTCTTCCAGATTTTCTTTATCACAGCTCGAAGTTCTTCATTAGCTTGTTCCAGGTTCCCTGAATCCAAAAAGCAAAAGGGGGAAACAAGCCTTGTTTCCGTTCCTCAACTCCTGCTCTCCAGCCCGCCCGCCCACAGGGCTCCCTTCCCACTGTTCCCAGCCTGTGATGGTGTGGCCTAACCCTCACCCAAGTAACACTCCTGCCAGTTCCTGCTGTACATACCCATCCGTGCCATGTAACCGTGCCCTTCCCTGTACAGGCTGATGTTGTCTTCTCATCTAACACGTCAGTGGAGAAGACCAGCCCGCCTTCTGGAGCCCTTACTGATGCCAGCCTGTGGCTACGAACAGACAAGCAAGCCACCGAAGCCACAGGCTGGACTGTAAGACACTGGCTTTGCTGGACAGCTCCAGGGGGTGGAACACATCTGTCCCCTGACCTGGCCTGCTTCTTCTCTCCTCTCCTCTGCTTCTCCCAGCCTGCTGTGACCTGCTTTGCATTCAACCTCTGACATAGCCATCGAGCCACGCTCAGGGCACACACTCCAGCACCTGTCTGGCCAGGCGTGGGCAGGGCTCACCCGGCATAAAGGCGAGGGCCCAGCAGGGAAGACATGGACCCCACCAGTACTCTTCAAGGGCTGACTCTGTGCACTCCGCACACACAGGGCCTTCTGCAGACTTCGCCTCAAGCATGCTCAGGACTTTCCTGGCACAGATGTGTTTGGTTTCCTTTTTACAAAGAAAGGAGCTACAGTTCAGAGCAGTAAGTCACACGCTAGTCAGGGCCAGCTGGAGCAAATCCATTTGTGACAGCCCTGTCTCCTCCCTGATAACCTTGCCTATTTCTCCTGCTGTGTCGTAAGCAGTGGACGGGTCAGTTCAAAACATTCTAGAACAAAGAGAGGCTGAAAGGAAGGACAGAAAGAATGCGAGGGCGGGGGGGCCAGCTGCCCTGGCAGAGACACTCTCGCCAGACTCAGCACCCCTTCCCGGGGTGTCTCCTCCACGGAGACAGAGCCCAGACAGGAGAACCAAGGTGGGGGGGGGGTCACGTCTCCTCCTTCCACCACCCGCCCTCCCTCCACAGGACGCTCACCTTCAGTCTTGATCTTGAGAGCTGTTCGGACCAAAGCAAACAGGGTTGCGTTAAACATGACTGTTCCATCACTGTTGAGAGGCATGTTCATGGCAACTAACCTCTGCGAATGAAAAGAAAAGTTCCTTGAAGGAATGAAAATGTTTCATGACATCCATACCCTTTTTGATGTTTATTCTCAGCCGGTTTCCAGTCAACCTTCCATCTGGGACTCAACAGCCATCCGGGAGCACCTTTACGAGGTGAACTTCTATGTGCGAACTAGACTGGCCCACGAGATGCTCAGATATTCATTCCTAAGTGTATCTGTGACAGTGTTCTTGCAGAGATTAGCATCTGAACTGGTGGACTGTCCATCCAGTGTAGGTAGGTGGCTGTCACCCAATCAGTGAGAGCCCAAAAGAACAAGAGGTGGAGGGAAGTTGAATTCTCTCTCTGCCTGTCTGCTTCAGCTGGGACATCCATCTTTCCTGCCCTCAGACTGAAACTCAGACCACTGGCTTCCCTGGGTCTCAGGTCTTCAGTCTCAGACAACTACATCACCAGCTCTCCTATGTCTCCAGTGTGCAGAGACAGACACGGGACTTGGCAGCCTCTATAACCATGACAGGCCATTCCTCCCAGCAAATCTATGTGTACATGTATGCGTACATGCGTGTCTCTGTATGATGGCATACAGTTATAATTTGACATGTAGACATACCCTATTCATTGCCTCTAATCCTGACCAGTACAGTTTATCCTCTGTGAGGGGTATGGGATGGCAAATATCAAAGCCCTCATGAAATGTAAATCCCGACACATGGATTCTGTGTTGTTTGCTAAACAACAGAAACTCATCATTTAGGCAACCTTCTTCCTTTCCTCATTACTAGCTCTCCCATGGCTCGGGGTCAGACTCCATCCCAGGTACATCCTTAACGCTCGTAGGAGGGTTAAATGATTAACAGGTACATGGGCCAGGCCAGAGCCTGGGCCTTAGGTTCTCAACCAAGAGTGTCAGCATTAATCCCAGCCAGGGAGTATCTTTCACTACCAGGTAGTATTTTGTACAAGTCTACAGGGCTTCTCCAAAGCCTTGGCCTTTCAGAGCAGGATCGACATTCCCCATGTCTCGTATCTCTTTAGATCCCCGCAACACCAAGCAGTAAGGAGAGCTGAGGCCCTCGGGTGTGGGCCATCCTCTCTGGGCCCAGTCTCCTTGCCCAGGACAAAGTGAGGCTTTTTAAAGAAAGAATGCAGGAGGAAGGGGTGGTCAGCTGCCCTGGCAAAGAATCCTAAGTGCAGATGATGTGTTCACGCTGGCGAGCCTCTTGGGAATGAAAGGAAATCGCCGGTACTAAGATTTTTGTGCTTGGCACATGCTAAGTGCCAAATAAATGGTAACATTTTAAGTATTTTTAAATTTAAATATTAAAAAATGTTTGACTACAGTGTATCCCAAAAGAAATTTTTCTCCTCCCTATGTAAGGACTAGAATCTTTTATATTTGCACGGCCAATTCCATCTAACTTTCTAGTCCTACTGTCAACTCTCCCTGTTTCCAAAATTGATGCAGACGGCCAGGACACCTGAGACTTACTCATTTTTCCGGCAAGTTCTCGAGCCAGCGAAATGAATAACTCTATACCTTGAGCACACTTAGATCCTTTATATAAAAGGACCTAGAAACCAAGCACAAGACAACACCTACGAACAGAACCTCCGCTGCTCTTGGAAAGCAGAAAAGGGCCTGGTGCAGGGTAATTCGTAACAAGAAAGTCAACTTCCATGGCTTATTTTCTGGCCCTACATCTAGAGTCCTGCCTGAGGAGAAGCAAGGAGCCTGAGGACCTGCCAGTGTGCCTCCCTGGACTCTGAGGGCAGGTGCGAGAGTACAGTTCAGAGACTTCTCTGAAAGCATGAAATACAACGTACACAGTGCTCTGTTATCTGTTTCTGTCTAGAGCTGGCCCAGCACCCCGAGGGGTAAAACCCCTGACCCCAGGATCGCTGCACATCCACAGGGAGCAGAGACCAGCAACAATCACAATGGGTGACCTGCTGGAAGGAAGAATTTCAGCGGGTAATCTTAAGGTGGTTCCCTGGGAGCTCTCTGGGAGGAAGACAAATCTTGACTAGAGTTCCAGAGAGCACGGTCCCATGTGGAAATGACAGAAATGAGACCGGAGATTGGTATCCAGGCCTAGTGCCCGGGAAAGGCGGCCAGCAGTGGCCACGAAGCTCTGCAGCAGGGAGCTCTGTGCAGGGCCTCACATCCACCAGTAACCACGCTGGGAAACAGGCTCCTTCCACACTGTCCTTTCCCCAGCAGGCACCAGGGCTTCCCCATTCCACTTCCTCAGCACATCTGCAAGCTGCTGGCTCCACTCTCCCTGCCCCCACTGGCCTCATGCTGGAGGTCCTGGTGGGCCCCATCCTGCAGGCCACTTCTCCGCACCATCAGATTCAGCTCTCTAGAAGGGAAATTTGATGTTTACATCTCTCCCTGTTGTCTGTGGGACTCAGCATGGTACAGATCACTCCGCACAGCAAGACTCAGCTTATGCCTGGGGCCTTCTGCCACTTCCTCTTGCATTCTGGCCAAATGGTGACACAATAACTTCCAATGGCCTCTCTGATGTCCATTCTCCTGCCCTGTCTGGGCTCTCTGTGCTCCCTTTCTGCAGTGTCCTTCCTGCCTCTGCGAGACTCCTACATTTCTTCTGGACTCAACTCAAAAGTCACCCTCCCCACTGCCAAGCCAGGGACAAACTGCAGAGGGCCTTTCATCCTCTCACTGCTCTTGACAGGGTTCCCTAAGAGTGACAGATCTGAGCGTCCCTCAAGGGCTGGAACCATGCACTATTCACCTCCTACCCACAACACCTCCCAGAAGGCCTGGCCAGGTGTCACTCCGTGTTTGTCGACGAGCCCCTGCTGGAGAGGCTGAGACACAAGATAAGATGCTCACCTTACACGCTACTCGGTGTGGGCATAATTTCCCAAATCCCAGAGGAGGCTGGATGCGCCGGAGCAGTGTGACCACGTCGAGGTGTTTTATCCTTCCCCTGAAAGCAAAGCATAGCCTGAAGTCCAGGAACAGCGTGGCTGGCCCTGGCCTGAGCCTTCAGTCCACCTTGCCCTCCATAACAATCACGGCTGACATTCCAGCACAGCCCGCGTGAGCCAGGTGGGCTCTTTCTCAACTTACTTTGCCTCAGGGTCATATTCTGACCATATTCTTTTGAATTCATCTAAGTGGTGAGGCCCTAAAATAGACCAGTCCCGGGTCAGATAGTCAAAATTGTCCATGATGACAGCCACAAACAGATTGATGATCTGAAAAAGCAAATCAGAGAGAGCTTTAGCTGTGGAGGAGTGAATTGGTTAAACACTATTATATGCCTCCTAATAACACAGATATGAGTTTTTTGAGGGTTTTTTTTTTCTTTTTCCCTTTTTAGCAATACTGGAGGTTGAATGCAGGGCCTTCATACTGAGCTATTTTCCCAGCCCTTTATTTATCTTCAGACAGGGTCTGGGCTCAAACTTTCGATCCTCCTGCCTCTGCCTCCCAGAGTGCTGAGATTATAGGCATGTGCCACCATACCTGGCTAGCCACGAGATATTTGAACTCACCCATCTCCAAGTGGGGTTGTAAAAACATTCCTCTGGGAGAACACTTAATAAGAGGGCAGGCTTCTTGCTTTCCAAGATGGCTTGGTATAGTCTTGGGAGGGAGTGGGCAGATGCATTAGCTGGCCTTCTGGAACACACTGCAATCTTATAATTTCACTGCTATCAGATAACTCACACTCTTAAGTCACTTAACACCATGTGCAGTGCAGTGGCCTTGAAATTTAAAAAGGAACCAGCAGCCCTAAGAAGCTGGGAGGTTGATAGTTTCCCCAGGAGATTAGCCCCAGCCCCTGCTCATGACAAGGTGGCAGTGACATACATCTGGCTGAATGAGATCTGCACTGCCAAGTGAGATCCAGATGCATTTGCTACCCAGAGCAACCTGAAAAGGGAACATCACTGGTCCAAAACTCCAAAGCTACACAGGCTCTGTAAACGAAGAAGCGAGCTGTGGCCTGCTTACCAGAAACGCACAGAGCATGTAAAAGCTGATGAAATAGACGATGGCAAAGCTGCTGCCGCATGTGTACTCCTCTCCGGGGTTGTAGTCTGACTCGGGATCACATAGCTTTCCTGGGAGGCAGGCCAGCATGATCTCCTGCCAAGCCTCGCCAGTAGCACACCTGTGCAGATCAAGAAAAGAGAGAGCCGGGGGTTTAGCTCAGTGGTTTCGCCATTTGCTGTGCAAGCGCAAGGACCCAAGTTTGATCCCCGGTACCAAAAAAAAAAAAAGACAAGGCTTTCGTGAAGGAGGAAGGGATTTAAGGGTTAGACCTCTGGGAGGAAAACTTGGAATCAGAGCAAAAACTAAGCAATGTGGCCAGAAGCCAATAGGGATTAGTGAAAATCTGAAATTCCTACTTACTTTCTAGTGCAACTTACCTCAGTCACTTGAGAGCCTCCTAAAATGTTCTCTGATTTTCAACAATCATTTGATGCAAGCACAACAACTTTTTTTGTATAAACAGATGTTTTTCTGTCTTTTCTACTTCAAACGTTCATATTATAATATTTTGATAATTACTCCTACTTATTTTTATTCAAAGCAAATAGCTGGAAACCATCTAACCTGCAAATGACCCATTACCCAGCCCCTGAAGCATTAGAAATTACTTGCATAATTTCTAGACAGCTCTCTCACTATGAGCCAGCTTGTTTACAAAGTTAATTAGCTGAGGTTGAAAATAATCCCATAAAATTTGGAACTATACATTTTAGGGTACTCCCTACTGGCTGTGCAAAAGGCTTCTATGCTTCTGCGAAATTTCCCTTCTCCTGCTTGTGTTTTGGTACAAGCTTCCACGCATAAACAGTCATTTTATAACTTCCCTAGCGGTTTAAGTAGCACACTATCTCACTAACTCCCACATGGATAAACCTTAAGCAGCCACAATCTGGACGACTCCAGCAATTTTAAAAATCCAGCAAAGCTCCTCTGTGACCAAATTCTAGGTCTCAGTCTAAGGCTACAAAACAAGCCATCGTGACAACCGGAAAAGGCACACTGCTTTGATACACATGTCCCCGGTCACCCTGGCCGAGGGGGGGCGGGTATCTACCACCTGCCCCAGAGCACCACCCACACAGACTCAGTCACCTGAAGAGCAGCAGCACTGCCTGGGGAAACGTCTGGAAGTTGTTGTTCCTGTTGATCTGGTTATTATCTCTCATGGCAACTTTCCCAAACATCTAGGTGGAAAAGTTATTAGGAAAAAGAGAACAGCTTTTGTCATTGCTGCAGTGTGGATCTTGAATGTCCCCCAAATCCCATGTGTTAAAGGCTTGGTCCCAGGGTGGTGGAACCATTAAGAGGTCCCAGTGGGAGGCCCTCTGGTCACTGGGAATGTACCCTCAAAGGGAATGGTGGCATCCTGGCCCCTCCTCTTTTTCTTTTGCTTCCTGGCCATGAGATGAGTAATCTTACTCTCTCACATTCACATGCTACGATGTGCTGCCTTAGGCTCAAAACAACAGGGATGATCAGTCATGGATTAGAACCCCCAATACTGTGAGCCAAAGGAAACTTGTCCTCTTTAAGAGTTGATTATCTCAGGCATGTTAGTACAGTGATAGAAAGCTGACTAACACAGTCGTACAAAAAAAAAAATGCTCTTGTGAGTTCAGAAGTAACTCAGGTGTGATCAGCACTAACTAGGGCTTTTCTCAGGATATGTGACACTTTATTCGATAAAGATCTACTGGGAACAGCCATGTGCCAGGTGCTAGGTTAACTGCCAGGAACAGGGAGCTCCAGGCAGGCAGATTCTCACTTTCAAGGAGTCCTTACTCTGGAGCAGGACCATAAAGCTAACCAGGCAATGACAGCCTCACATGGTGGGCAGTGGGAGGTCCAGACGCACGGGGAGTAGGGAACAGCTCACCCACCGAATGGAGCTAGGGGGCTGGGGATCAACCTCCAGGGCATGGGACATCTATGTCTAGAACTGAAGCAAGAAGGGAAATCAGGTGACAAGGAAGCCAGGGAGCGCTGCAGGCAGTGGGAATGCCACCTGCAGAGGAGCAGAGGCGACTCAGCACAGGCGTCCTGGGGAATGAAAAGATGAGCCGCAGGCCAGGCAGATGGATGAGAAATGGAGTTGGAGACAAGGGTGGGGGCCCATGAGTCTCCGGGAGGAGAGGGAGCTCCGCCCCTGGAGAAGTGGGAAGTGAGGAAAGAGATGTCCTCCTGGGGCTGAGGAAGCAGACTGACACTGCAAAAAAGCCTGATGCCGGCAGGTGCCTGCTGGGAGAATCTAGGGTGAGGTGTGCAACCATGCAATGCAGTTCGCAGGACTCTGGGATGCCTCTTTTTCATGTGAGAATATGTTATATACAGCATCACATGCTGCTCGACTGTAGGAGCCTGAGCGTGATGACTCTGGTTTCATAGCTTCTGGTAAGATTCTAAGAGACTTGCAAGAACTTCTAGGGCTTCAAGATTAAAATAAGTACAATCGGGCCGGGGATTTAGCTCAGTGGTGTTGCCGCCTGCCTCACAAGCGCAAGGACCAGAGTTCTATCCCCGGTACCAAAAAATAAATAAATAAATAAGTACAAGCATCTCTTTGCCCACGAATCTCACTTTACCTTTCTCACTCAAGCCCCTTGCTTATCAGAAAGACACATCTGCACAAGAGGAGAGTCCACAGGTGCCCGCACTGAAGTCAGGAACTACACTCTGCTCTCCAGGGTGCTCTATCCACGGATGCTCACCACCCCGGCCCAGCTGTCCACACGGGGTTAGGACCCAGCTGTGAATGACCTCGAGGGGACTGGGAATCATGCTGCAGCCCCTCAGCCCCCAGAGCAGGGCCACAGAAGAACCTAGCTCTAAGTCTCTCTGGAAAGGAGAGCTGCTGAGGTAGTACTGTGGTCCCTGACATTCTCTGTTTCCAGGGAGAATCCCACCTCTGGGGATTAAGGCCTAATTCTTCAGACTAGCAACAAGTCCTTGCATTAGTATTTTCCAGTATCACCAGCGCAGGAAATACAACACCCACGCGACGATGGCTATGGCTTCCGGGAGTACGGCACTTCCTCTCCTTTTGTTCTGCTCCTCTTCTGTCCCTACCACCCCTGAAATCGACTGTGGGCCTTTCCCATGGCCTCAGGTGGGGAGAGGGTGCCACCCGTAAGCTTTCCACGTTCTCGGGTGCCTGCTCTCATCTGGGGCAGCCTCTCTCCTCAGGAGCTCCCGCCTGAGGGCCGCATCTCCTTCACCCCCCTGTCTCTTCAGCAGCCAAGGCATTTGGCTAAAAAAATCACGATGTTGACTTTCTGCTTTACCTGGCTAATGTACATCTTGCCACAGACTGGGGGCTACCTTGCACAGAGCCCCCGAGGGCAAGGCGGCCAGCGCCTACCTGCATGCCGATGACGGCGTAGATGAAGAACAGCATGGCAATGAGGAGGGCGACATACGGGAGTGCCTGCAAGAGAGCAAGCCCTGGGCTCAGCCAGGCGTCTGTCCCTGCACCCGCTCGGCACAGGGAGACGGCCACGTGGCAGCCACACACTGCTTCCTGCTTGTTACAGGGCAGACTCAACCCCAGCCCAGCACAAGCACTTCCGTCCTGAGCACCCACCCACCCGCATGAGGCCTGGCGCTACCACACCCCAGGGAGGACAAGAGGGCATCAACACTGCATGCTAATCCATGCTAATCCCGCACGTTTCCACCACGGACACACCAGCCTCTACCACTGCTTTGCAAATCTGCTGTTAGAATCCTCTGTGAAATTATAACTGATTAAATCATTCCCCAACACTGGACATTCAGACTGCTTCCACTTTATCCCATGGGCATGACTGGAAGGGTGTGAGGGAGGTGCTGTAGGTCACGTTGTGGAGCCACATCCTTACGCGCGCGGCATCACTTTGCTTCTGCTGAAGTACTCCCTTAGGGTGAAGTCTTAGGAGTAGAATTACTGAGTCAGAGTCAAGAACCACTTTCTGGCCATTGCAAAACACCTTTCTTTCTTTTTCTTTTGTCACTTTTGAGACAAGGTCCACTATGTACTTCAGGGTGGCCATGAACTCACCGTGTAGCCCAGGCTGGCCTTGAACTCATGGCCATCCTCCTGCCTGGCTTCCCAAGTGCTGGGATTACAGGTGTGCACCACCAAACCCAGCTTAACACACCTTTCTTGAAATGAGTATCTATTCAAAGGACCACATGGCCGAGGGGTGGGCCAGGGAAGAGATGGAGCCTGGGCTGTCAGCAGGAACACTCAATGCAAGTGTGCGCCTCTGACCAGACCCAAGCCCTTTAGTCCAGTGTTCCTCAGGGGCTTTTCTCCCTCACTCTGTGAATCAAACATACCCTCACGGAAGGCACACAGCCAGGATGTCCAGGTGTCAGGCTTAACTCCAAGCACACATACTTAAAGCATCCCCCTTCTCCGCTCACTTGAGAAAGTTCATCAGAAAGTCAGTGGCCTGCAGGCTGCCTGACTCGTGCACCTCCAGACTTGTGCACCCATGGACTTGTTAGAATAGCCTGGCCTGGCCCGGCAGCACCATCTCCACAGCTGAACTGAAGTCCTACATGCTCAGCGTTAGGCTTTGCCCTCCGCACCTGTGTCTGCATTTGCTTCCCACATTACCAAATGTTTAAAACTTTTTGTGGAACAATCACTGACCTACACGTGATCTTCCAAGACAGAGAGAGGCTTGGGCGTGACTCTTACCTGGAAGGACTTAATAAAAGTCCACAGCAATGTCCGGATGCCTTCCCCCCTGCTGAGAAGCTTCACCAGTCGCATCACTCGGAAAAGACGGAAAAAGGTGATGGAGATTCTATTGCTCTCTTCAGAGTTCTGAAGGGTTATCATGGAGAGGTCAAACCCAGTGGAAAGTAGGACATGCAACACTTTCAGAAAAACAGCAACAGATGCAAAGGTGACAGAGGTAAAAACTGAAGATGTGTGCCTAGGGCCTTTTCACCTTAAAAAGCATGATATGAAAGGAAAAATTACATGCTAACAACACAGGGCTTGGAAAACTGCATCCACACAGCACATGCATGTCCACGTGTTCTACTGTGTTAGAGAAGAACGCTGGGCTGGTCAAGAGTACTGGACACTGATGATGAATGCAAACCACTGCAGACACTGCTCTGGAAGGACAATCATGGAGAATACAGAAAAACCAGTGGAAAACTCGACATGGTCAAAAAAAAACTCAAGGAAAAGGCCCAGCCCCTGGGGACTAGTTACTGATCTTACCCCAGGTGTAGCAGTTGGGACAGGGACATTGTCACTTTCAGTTGGCTTTAAGAAATCAAAGATTGAAAATGTGTTAATGAAGGGGGAGGAAGCAGGGGTCCAGGAGAACATCCCCCCTTCTAAAAATGTGCGGTGAGCGTCTTTGGACAATATGCCTGCTCCTTCCCTAAGAAAACACCAGGGCTCTAACTGGAACTGGACTCAAGGGTGGGCAACCACTGACATGGGTACAGACACACGACTACTTTCTAGTTCACAGCCGGGGACACAGTGTCCCGGCGGTCGGCATCTGGTGGAAGATACTACTGCAGACCCTAGATGTCCCTAAAGACAGGCGCACGGTGTGTGCCCTGCTTCTCTAGGCTCAGATGGAGGAGCCCGCTGCTCTGTGGCCATCCTCCTAACCCCAAGTGACGGAATTTCAGCTGCAGGGCAGCAGTCGCCCTACCTGTGGGCCACACACCTCAGGGGACCACGTGTGTTCCCATGACACCAGACCTCTCCCACGCTGTCTGTGAAGGGGCTGCTGAGGACCTGGCAGACAGGTCAGTGCAAGGAGGACGGACTGGCTCCTCTCCAAAAGCCTGCGCTGCCTGACCTCCAGCTCAGACCCCGTGAGACCTGAGGAGACTCGGGTCTGCAAGGGGATGGGGAGGAAATGGCGTGGGACCAGCTCCCCCTGAGCCCCAGCCGTTTCGCCTCATCCGAGGTCACTCGTCCTCACCCGCTCCCCGGAGGGCAGGGGACCTGGCCTCATTCTGCTCAGTGCCTGGCATGGCACCTGCTGGGTGTTAAGTGTCTCCAAGAATGCAAAGGCGTCAGAGGCAAACTCTCACCAATACCAGGAGGCATCTTTAAACAGTAAAGTGAACCCGAACTGGGACATGGTAGCCTTGCTTTCCCTGCAGTGCTGTCACCTCCCCTGAGGCAGTCGGTCTCCCTGGAGACTGTCAGAGAGGAAAGAGGCTCATCTGGCTAGAGGCTTCCAGAAGGATTTTCTATACGCCACGTCTGCAACATGACCTCCCCCGCCCAGGGACAGAGGGACAGGAAAGGCCCTGTTCTGAAGCCTGACTGTCACCAAAAGCTGCCTCCTGAGACCAAACAAAATTCTATAAAACTCACAGAAATAAAGGGGCTTGAGCACACCAGGACAACTGTGATTCAGCCACAGGACTCTGAACTGAGGAAGAACAGGTCGCAGTCGTTATAAAGGGGTCCCAGCTCCCCTGAGGGTGCTCAGAACGGGAACTCTGCCATGGGCTTGTCAGAGCCCAGGTTCACTATTTTTATTCTCCTCTTCCATTATCCCACTTCAGAAGAAACAACATATCTTTAAAGGGACAAGTCATGGTCTTTGAAATGTAAGCCCAGGAACTAGTTTTCCAAAGTCCCCACTGTCTCCCACATCATTCTCCCTGAGAGCCATGTAGCACAAGACTCAACTCTTGCCCACACAGCTGAGCGCATGTATGAGTCTGTGAGCTCAGGCCTGTTTGCCTTTGTGTGGGGGTCAGTGCGCAGATGACAGACTGCCTACAGTGAGATTCCTGAGATGCCTACAACAGGTGTGGGAGCGTCGAGAGCGTAAGAGGCCAGCCAGCTGGAAGACACTCTTCACGATCCCCTTCCTTCTGGTATATGAGATCAGCAGCCAAACTGACTTTTAAAATGTACATTTTTAAAACTGCATCTCTCAAGTATGACAAATCATGGACTGTGGAGTTCAAACTCTCTCATTAAAACAAAGAGGAGGAGGAGATGGCATTTGTCGGGCACAAGGCAGCATGACATGCAAGAAAAGAAGGAAAGAACCACCAGCACACCAGGCTGCAGGCATGCGAGTGTGGCCTGTGACACCGGCCCTCCCCTCACGCGTCCGTGGGCAGGAGGACTGCTGTGAGGGGCAACGACGCTGGCATCACTGGGGACAGTGCAAGTTGCCAAAATATCTTCCAAACTGAAGATGGTTTTGCCCAAACTTAGCCTGATGAAAAGGGCAGTGCAGCTCGCTTCCTGGGCTGCACAATGAAGCCTCCTAGGGATCCTAAACAAAATCTGATGCTCAGGTCCCACCTCAAGGATTCTAACTGATTTGGAATGTGCTGGCGCTCCAGAAATTCGAAAAGCTTTCAGATGATTCGAATGTGCACCTAGAGCTGAGAATTTCAGTCCTGTTAGGCTCATGGGAAGCCTAGGCCAAGTACTCAGCTGGCTTCTCATGCCAGCAAAGTGATCACCAGAGTGGGGCCACTAGAAAAGCCCGCTCGGAGTGGCTTACACTTAGCAGTGGCTCCTTGTGGAGCCGTGAGGGTTCGGGTCTTGGAGACAGGGATGAGACTCCATAGCCATGTTCCTTACAAGGCACAGAGGAGGCTTGGGAACGAAGGCAGCTGGTGGAGGGTGTACATGGAACACAGTGAGCTGGCACATTGCTCAACTGTGGGGTCACCCCTGGTTACCCCGAGGGGCCACAAGATAAAGGAAGGACTTGGTTCCTATGCAGCTTTTCAAAAATGGCCTCAAAGGCCCAGGTGATGCATTCCCAATAAGGAGAACCCCACTGTCGTCTTGGGGTGTGGAAGAGACGGCCTCAGCAGCTCCTTCAGCAGGCCACATTCTTGGGCCTGGTTCTGGGAAAGGCTGCTCACGGAGTCAGGTTCCTGAAGAACCTGGCCCCGAGTCCAGGACAGGAAGCTGAGTGAAGCTGCGGTGGCCTGGTCTAACCCAGGTGACTCCGAAGGCAGGGACAATTCTTGGGTCCTGAGGGTGAGCTCTTACTGACTTCTATGCGCTTTTTGAGAAGTAGTAACAAGGTAACCCTGGTTTCCAAACAAGTACGTTGCGTCCTAGGCAATAAATACAATGGATGAAGGCTAAACGTCAGCAACAACCATCCACAGGTCAGAAAAATAGTTGCTGGGTCATTTCACCATTCCAGGAACAAACAGGCATCAAAGAGGGAGCAAAGGTGAGCCGACCAGTCGTCAGCCAGTATTTTAGCAGCTTGGTGATGTTCTGGCCAAACGTGGAGGAGACAAGGCCATGAGGGCCATCAAACCAGAGCAAGCAGGGTGAGGAGGTGGACAGCATGACGGGGAGGGCGGGTGAGCAGGCACGCAGGACGATGCCAAGGGCCATCCAAAATGTTTTTGCAAAGAAAACAAATGCAAGCTTGATTTCTCATTTCCAGGCCAAATCGTCCATTCTTGAAGACTGTTGGCAAGTCACAGAGCCAGGGTGACTGATCAGAAGGCCCGAGGTCAGGCCCCACCCAGCTGGATGACCAGGAGGGGAAACAATTTGGATGGCCATGACCAGACCTTAGCACATCCTGTGAAAAACCGTGAACACCAAATGTGGGAGACCGAAAACAAGTATACAGTCTCTAGGAGTGCTTTTGCTTTAACGACTTCACCGTATATATGTTTATATATACTTGCCGCTACAATTTTCTAAAAATGAAACCAACATGAAAATCAATTAGGCAACAGAAAAAAAAAAAAAAAGGTCAACAGAGTTTGGGGGAGAGAGCACAGCAGGTTAAACATTGCAAAACAAAACAAAACAAAAGATCGTATGGCAGCTAAAACAAGCCAACAAGGGACAAAGAGTGCTCGTGCTCAACTGACCTGGGAGCTCAGGGGACAAGGCCCTGGAGGATGTGACATGCATCGCTCCCTCGGGGAGCTCCACGTGTGTGGAGAGGAGAGGGTGCAGGAATCAACAGTCCCATTCTAATGTATTTATATCCCCAGGGGCTGAGAATATCCAGTCATTCTTTTTTCTTATCTTTGGGTCTCCCCAGAGCTGAGTCCAGGGCCTACACATGGTAGATGCCCAGTGAACGTGTGTTCGAAGATGGAATAAACGAGCAGGGGGCCTTGAGCATTTCCTCCGTCCCAGGGCCCAGTAGAGAAACACTGAGGTTTCCTCAGGAGGTGTTTTACCTACTGGCCCGAGGCAGGGAACTGACAAGGATATGGCTAAGGAGCGTTTGGTCTCAGGGTACAAGTGAGCGGGGAGGTCACTGACTGGAAGCAGAGCATGGGAATGCCCATGGGTGTGATGCTGAGGGGTTAGCAGAACGCCATGAGTGGGCCCCACGAAAGCCTGCCTCGTAGAGATACCCAGCTCTGGCTAGAAACTCACGCCCAGACCTGGTCCTTTCCTGATACACAGGGACGCAGGACAACTCGCACTGCCAGGCGAGGGAGGCCGGGCCGAAGGCGCCAGGGCCAGCAGGAGGCACAGGGCTAGCACTCAGCACGTGTGAGGAAGCCAGGAAGCCGAGAGCTGCTCTGGGTGCACCAGTGTCACCCCGCCAGCCAGCAGTGGGGCAGCGTGAGAAAGCGGGGTGCCCATTTAGTAAACAACCCTTGGCCACCCAGGAACTAAGAACTTATACCCTCCAGCTGCCCAGTACTTCAAGTACGGAGTGGAGTGCCCCAGGGAGACCTGGGAGGAGGATAGCTTTCGTACCTTCATTTCCATCACAAGCTATCTCTGACTAGATTTTCATGTAAGTACTGTATTCCTCGATGTACGTGGTGAATCAGGCAGGCAGATGTCTGGCCATTAACTCGGGAGAGTTAGGGTCCTGCTGTTCTCTCATCAGTACCAGAGTATTTTATAACCAAGCATCATTTACATATCATGAATGGCAATTTTATAGCTGCCTTATGGAATATTTCACATAAAGTAGAATTTGCATAAGTCTAGGCTTAAAGAGGTTCGGGGGTGTGTGTATGTGGGCCTAGTACAATACTACTTTCATATCCTGCCACGGTATGGATTTGCACATGATGAGCCTTAAATCATACCCTCGTGGACAAGATAACATCTTACAGTCCATGTCGCTTGCTTCGTGGAAAATCTGCACTCCCAAGAACCCTGCTGCACCTCCCTGATGCTTTGGTTTCAGCAGGGCTTTGCGCCAGTGGTCACATAATCTTATCCCTACAATACACCCACAAGGCACAGAGGGCAGGTAACGCTCCCTCTGCTGGACTTCTGTGGGGACTGAGGCCCTCATCTAACAAGTCAGGTTTGAAGTGGGCTGGAACGGGGCAGGTCTCAGGACTGCCAGGCTGTTTCTGTCCTACTATTCATATTTCAGGATCAGCCTGGCCCCATCACGGGGCAGGAAGAGATTCCACTATCACCTGATACGTGCTGGGTACCAGGATGGACCTAACAGTCTCAGCCACTGAGATACCGCCAGGCATAGCATCAGGGTGGGTGCAGGGCCAGACTGGCGACACTGAGCAGAGGCCGACGACACACAGTGAACCTCCCATGCTCTGCTTAACCCCTTGAAGGGCACAGGCACTGGGGACCCACGAAGAGCTGCTATGATGTGGGCCAGACCAGTGGACAGGGACCTTTCTGGCCGCCTCAGGGCTTAGGTCAAGCTTGGGTCAGGCAAGAGGAGCGGGTAGGAGGAGTGCTTCCTTCACAGGCCTCAGCATTCTGAAAGGGTTCTCAGAATGTTTGTGGAGTTCATGCTGCTGAACAGGAGCTCCTTCATCAAGACTCAACCGCATGTGACAAAGCAGCATGCCTCCTCCTGACACACACTGACACCACCTCCCCTGGTCCCAGGGGCTCCACCCTCTGAGGAGCTACAGCCTGGATGTTCACCAGTGTCACCAGCCAGACTCAGACCCGCAGGACAGAGGAAGACCTGAGCAGCGGCAGCTGCCATACACTTAGGCCCAGCCTTGACGGCTCCCTCCTACACTTCCCAGAATCCCCGTCGGGTGGGCGTGAGGCACACATTATTAACTCCATTCTACAGCTGGAAAAGCAAGGCACAAAGCGGTCAGGTCACCTGCAAAGGTCACACAGCTAGAGAGGGACAGTGTTCATACACTCACACAATTAAGCCCTAGCTCTTAAAACTTTACCATGATCGTTAAAATACAATTTCACTTCGAAAATGGCAATTCTATGTTTACTTCCCCACTTCTTCAGGGCAAGGGGGTGGACACAGGGCAAGAGATGAGACTAAAAATAGTCCATCTTTTAAAAAGATTTTGTGTCTGGGTTTCTAAGGCATAGATAGTCATCGGTGGGACTTCTGAGCTCTTTTACATCAGACTTAATGAGAACAATCACATTATAGGACACAAAGTTTGCTACTTACATTCACTTCAGTTATAGCAATATCAACGACGCTACCGACAACAATTAAGGCATCAAAAGTGTTCCATGCATCAGTGAAATAGTGCTGTTAGGGAAGCATTCAGAAGCCACAGAGGAGAGGAAGCACAACAGGAAAAAAGAAGAAAGGACAGTGTTACCAAAGGGGAACATTCGAGCACCGTGCCATCAGGCTACTTGAAAAGCTGCCCTAAGACAAGCATGTCATAGATACATTACTTTGGGTGTTGCTTCTGATACAGCAAATACAAACAATCAGATGCCCTGCCTTACCTTGCCTACTAACTAGTTCCTCAGGTCAGTGCTGCCAGAAAGGCAGCATTCAAAGATGACTCACGTCTGCAAAGGCTCTGGGCTAAGGTTCTGTGCTAAGAGGTCCCTTCCCCCAGCTTTCCTCAGGAATGCCTAGTTTGAGGCCAAGTGCCATCGGGATCTGTGACTTGTCCAGGTGACGCCACTGCAGGGCAGGGAGCAGAGTGTGCAGACAGAGCAGAAAGGACGCAGGCCACACAGGTGCATACTCACGTCTGCTTCGCTGAGGGCCACGTCTATAATGCTGCCGATTACGATGAGGGAGTCAAACGTGTTCCAGGCGTCACTAAAATACCCCTGGACAGAGCAGGCGGGGGCAGATGTTTATGAGCAGGGATGAATGAAACATCACACCACACGGATCATACAGGGACACATCTGAGTCCTCACAGCACCCATGGCAACCAGGTGGGGTGGGGAAGCCAAAGGGGAGGCAACAATACTGTCCTCTGGTGGAAAGGGACACAGGGGCAGTGGGACACCTGTGTGTGAGAGGGTATGCATGTGAGGGTGCGTGTGCATGCATGAACACACACACACTCACACACTGCACGCACACACATGCACACACACACATCCACAGCTCTGAGCAGACAGAGGGCAGCCCTGCTCTAGAACCCAGTGTGCTGCCCCAAATCCTCACCAGCTGATGGACAGTAAGTCCATGCCCTCCTTCCAAGGGTCCCAGTCACCCACTCACTTCTCTGCCACCCCGGAAAACACAGGCACCCCGCGCCTTTTCACTTGTGTGCCCCTGCAAACAGACCAGCAGCACCCCCACCAGGCCAGCAAGTATTTCAGAGGCTGTGCCACGTGTCAGGATGACAAGATCCTGTCTGCAAAGAGCCCTCAGTCTGATGGACACCGACAGGCGGTAAAGGAGATGCTGTGTGCATCTCCAAGGAACAGCACATGGCTATGGTAGTGAGGGCCCAGTGTAGGGAAGCCAAGGCAGGTTCTACAGAGCAAGAAGTCCTGAAGGACCAAGGGGAAGTTCAGAGGCTCCCACTGTCCTCGGGAGAAGCCCTGGCAGAAAGGCTTTCTCCCACCTCCATTCTTGCTCTTCCTTTCTGCTCTCAGTCTTCCAGGCCAAGAGGACTGCGCTCCATCTCTCAAACACATGAGCAGGTCCTTCCCACCTGTGGATGCCTTTGCAAACCTAACCCCACACCTGCCTCAACTCCACCTGCCCCTCCCAGCTCCTTCATGAGAACTGTTTGAGCCCTGCAGGTTGCTGAGCCCCATCATGCTGCTGCATCTCTCCTACGTCTCTTCGTCTCTGAGGTCCACTATACTACAAGCCATCTCAGGCTGGGACCGCACTGCTTACTGTGCTCCACTTCCATCAAACCAATATCCACCCCTGAGCCTTGAGTCCAGGGAGTGCTTGGCACATAGTGACTTTTTCTCTCCACGAATATGCACCTTCTGGTCATCCAGCTTTTCCTGTTTCTCGTTTTAATGTACAACATCCCCACACTCGGGCCCTGGGGTGCATTTGTACCTGCTGCACATTTTATACTTTCCGGGACTGGCACCGCCAGTGCCAGCCCAGTGCCCCTGGCCCTCACATCCCAGGAAGCCCCCCTCACAGCTGAGGGAAGGGTGGCACACAGCGCTGGGAGGCTTCTGGTTCCCAGGGACAGGCTGTCTACAAACTGTTTCTTCTCAAAAAGTCAGAGCATGTTTTGGAAATAAAAAACCAGGCCTGCGTTACATAAAGAAGAGCCCGGCATGCTTAACACTGGGTGCGCTTAGTATCATATTAAGAAAAGCAGAACAGGAGGTACTTTGAAGTGTCGAGGCCTGGGAACCAGTGATCAAATGCAGGTGCAGGAAGCCACCGCAGAGCCACAGCCTTCTGTGACACTACAGAAAGTGCGGATGTGTTGTGTCCTAATAGCTGGGTCGGGGGTGCTCATTCTACTGTTAATCATTTCCCCCCACTGACAGGGAAGTTACTACACTCTGACCCTTTATTGTTTTTATTTCTCGCTAAATAACACGAGATTCCCCATCCAAGCGTGTGGCCTCTGACCACTCAGCCCCTCTCCCCTGACAGTCAGTACCTCTCGCACAGCAGCTTCTCACTGACTGCTACTCTCCCAAGCCCTCTCTTGGCAGCCTCAGAAGATGACAAAAGGCTTCAGCTCATACAGAATCTGATGATCTGTTTATAAAACCCATCAAGAAGACGTAAAACTTAGAACACAGGAGGTGTACGAAGGTCTTAGCGTGCTCCCTCATGAACTCCTGGTTCTTGGGGGCAAAACTGAGGGAAGATGGGCACCTCGCATCTGGACTCATGACATCCGACGTGGGCCAGAGGCCGGACAAACAGCTGGCAACAGGAAGTAACGGAGTAGAACCTTTCCTTCCCCAGTGAAAAGGTGAGCGGCACCAGGCGGAACCTGCAGCGCTGCAGCTCATGTCCCTGGGCTGAGTGTGTTGTGTCCTCCAAAGTCACTCTGTTGCTGCAGGCGGGCGACAGACAGTTCTGACTGGCCACAGACTATGCTGAGGCAGAAACCTGCCCTTATCTGTGCAGACCTAAGAGCAACTCAGAAGCTAAAGAGAACATGGTGATCCGCTCCTCTCCCAGACGCAAGGTTTATGCGGCAATCCAGATCTTGGTCAGGACTGGCCACTACACCTCCAGGGTACTCACGGAGCAGTGGAGACCAAACATCCTTCCTTTTCTCTAATGTGGCCCTGCCTGTGCCATATGCATTGTGCCTGTGTCTCTCTTGTCACTTGAGGGGATTCGCCAGGGGCCACACCCAGCACACGTGCAGTGGACATCAGCCCTTCACTCATCCTGGGATTTTAGCCCTAATACCCATTCTCTGAACAATCAGTTGACAGGTAAGCTATTCTTCACCAATGCAATTCTGGGGAACTGTGGTGTGTAAAATCCTTCTGAATCAGCCTTACGGAGGTGACTTCTCCTGGGACCTAGACATTTTTGGAGCTCTCACTGTGTCTGTGTCTGTCTGTGACCTCCTCTCCTCTCCCTCCCCTCCCGGTTCCCTGACACTCACAGAATAGTGCCAAAAGCCTCACAGCTCATAGACTAAAAGTTGTCACCTCTAATCTAGGTGGCAGGAGGCTTGACTTGGTGCAGGTGGCTGGAATCAAAGGCTCTGGCCAGGCGGCTCTGACGGGAGTCCAGGGGAGGTAGAAAATGCCAGGCCTCCCTTTCTTCCCTCACACTGTTTCCCCATTTAGCAGCCTCCTATTTAATAAAACCGCTGTCAAGAGAGCATGACTCAGTTCCCCCACCCTTTCCTCACTGACAGCACAGTGTGCAGTGTCTGGGTAACCACAAGATAAGACCCAGGTTCTGAACACATCTCCAGCTCTACGGCCATACCTCCCTGATTGCACCTGCTCTCATCTGAACACGTCCCAGGCCTTCTCCTCCTAGCTGACGATAACATGCTCTCCTAGAATTGAACTCTGAAGCTGGGGCCTTTCAAGCAGAACCAGCAATCAAATCTATCTATTTTTCTTTTTCACAGCTCCACATACTGAAAGGATCAAACAAGTTAGCCACATGCAACAACAATGATTATTCAGAAACATTTCTGACTCCGGACGTTTAAAGTTATAAACCAGACTAATTCGGGCCTTGGTGCCATAAGTTCCATTATTCTAAGAAGCCTATTCCGCCGGACTATCCATGTGTCTCCTGCCCAACCGTGGGCTCCTGGAAGGCAGAGCCTGGGCTTTCACTATTCCTGGACCTCTGTCTGGACTTGGCACGAGGTAAGGGGCAACGTGTGTGGAATGGCTGCAAATGGGAAAAAACAAAAGCAGCCCAAGTCCAGACTCTTTTTCCTGCCTGCATTCACTGTCATCTGCAGATCTGAAGAAACCTATAAAATCGACCTGCCGTTTGTCATGTACCCTGGCAGCCAGATCACTCACCACTTCCTGGCAGGGATTGATCCAAGTGATGATCCACGGTGCCAGTTCTTTTTGTTTGTTTTTGGTACCGGAGATCGAACTCGGATCCTTGCGCCTGGATAGCAGGCGGTGAAACCACTGAGCTAAATCCGTGGCCCCACAGTGCCAACTCTTAACAGACAGCTTTCTAACTAGTGTAAGCTTTTCCAAAGGCGAGGTGGGGGCTTAGGGAAGATGCATCCTGGTTCAGCAACTCTGCTCTCCCCCCATATCCTGTGACAGGAAAGCAAGTACCATCTATGCTGAGCTGCATGTACAAGCTCATCCATTACTCCTTTCTGCAGTCTACCAGTCTATTAAGGAACCACTTCAGAGCAGGCATCACATGAGGCAGCACAAATGGAGGGAGAGACCTGGGACAGTGTTGGCAATAACGGTGCATGGTAAACACCTCACGGATGCACACACGGAGGAAGGGTCTGGTCTGCACTGGGCTGGGCTGGTGGGATGGCGGTCACCACAGGGTGGCACTTCCAGGGGGCCACAGCCTAACAGGGGTGGGGGGCAGGGAGAAGGGCTTCCAGCCAGAGGGCTGTGGGCATGGACAGGTCTAGCATCTTCACACTTGGTGAGGGGGTTGGGAAGAAGGAATGGCAGGGAGAGTTGCAAGAAATGAGGCAGAAATAAGTGAGAAGTAATATTTTGTGGAGGACTTGGAATATTAGATGAAGAAAATATTATCTTCTCAAGCAACAGGGAGCCAGGGCCAGAATTTCACTGGAAGAGTGGCTTGGTTGGCTTTTTGTTTACAGAAAAGAGTAAACAGAAGGTGAACAAAAAGGGTTGAAGCCAGAAGCAGAAATCACTAAGGAAGCGGGCAGGCACAGTGGCCAGGGAAGAGGTCAGGCAGCCCTGGGGGAGACAGGGCCACAAAGCCTGGGCACATGTACACCTTACGAGGAGAGAAGCAGACCAAGAGGGAGCCCTGGGAGGCCCTGACATCAGAGGGACAGGATGAGAGGATGGAGCTCACCAAGAAACCCAATGTAAAATTCTAAGGGCAGAAATATCTAGTTTCAAGCATTATTTGCCATTGAAAATAAGTCATCTAGAAAGATGTGGTCACCGAAGCACTGAAAAGACACTATTACTTTCTGTCTCCCAGAGCTGGATAGCATGTTCTGGGGAGACTGCTAGGATTTTTTAAAGAAGCCCTGCTCCTCCCTAGGGCCCTGGAGCGAAGGGCACTGCCCATGGACAGATGGGACAAGATGACCCAGTGCACTGCGGACTCGCAAGCCTGGACAGCAACAACCCACTTTCTCCTCTCCCAAATCTGCCTTTTACCTTTTCCAAGCCCAGCGGCCAGGAGCATAAATCATACATTT